ATTGCTAAATCGACATAGAATTTTATGCTGATGAAGAATATATATACTTTGTGGGGTCTAAAAGATGTATTTCGAGGTGTTACAAACGAAATGACAAATTTAATATACCCTCCATTCTATATATACCTCCCGCCTTGAGTTATAATTATTCAAACCGTTGACCCTTTATTGGGGGAGGCAGTTAGCCAATATTGAGCAATTTTTATCTGACCTAAGACGGATATAAATATTACATCCTGCCAGATTTGGACTACATGGACTACTTCCTATACATACTTTATATGAGATTTGTGTAAATTTTTGAAAAATGTGGAAATATGCGTGAGGTACCAGATATAGCGGACCGAAATATTCCACTTCAACTAATACATCCGATTTCCGCAGAAGATCTTCTGTTAGTAAAAATAATGACATGCATGATATATGTAGAGAACCGGATGCTTATTTCGGATTTTATGATCCTTTTGGTTATTCAATACTTAGACCCTTTTGTGGGGGAGGAATCAGAAAGAATGGTCCGAACTTTACCATCTTTATTACATATCTTGCGTTGATGGAAATATTGATTTATGTCAAGTTTGAATGAAACCGGATGTTCACTTCCGGTTTTATGATCTTCATGAATTTTCAAAATTTTGACCATTTGTGGGGGAGGTATTAGAAGTAGGGGACCGATGTATTCCATCTTCACACAAGACCTTGAGTTAATAACAATATTGTGATGTGTATAATTCGGATTTTATGTTCGTTTTGGTTATTCAATACCTTGACCATTCGTTTGGGAGGTACCAATGAAATGGTCCGATCTCTACCATCTTTTTTACAGATCTTGTGTTGATGGAAATATTGAGATGTGCGAAATCTGAATGGAATCGGATGTTAATTTCATCTTTTATGAGCTTCATGAATATTAAAAATGTTGACTCTTTCTGGGGGAAGTACCTGATAAAGTGGTCCAATGTATTCCATCTTCACACCAGACCTTGGTTTAATAAAAATATTGTGATGTGTGTAATTTGGAGACAAACGGACCCTTACATCACATTTTATAAAAGTTATAATTATTCAAAATTTTGACCCTTTGTTGGGAAGGTACCGGTATGAGGGGACCGAAATATTCTATCTTCACACCAGACCTTGGGTTATTAAAAGTATTATGATGTGTATAATTTGAAGAGAACCGGATGCTTATTTCGGATTTATTGATCGTCTTGGTTATTCAATACCTTGACCATTTGTGGAGGAGGTACCAGAAGAAATGGTCCGATCTCTACCATCTTTATGACAGATCTTGCATTGATGGAAATATTAAGATGTGCCAAGTCTAAATGGAATCTGATGTTAATTTCGTGTTTTTTGAAATTCATGAATTTTCAAAATGTTGACCCTCTGTGGGGACGGTACCAGAAGGAGTGAACTCATATATTCCATCTTTACACCACACCTTGGGTTAATAGAAATATTGTGATGTGTGTAATTTGAAGACAATTGGACCCTTACATCACATTATATAAGAGTTATAATTATTCAAAATTTTGACCCTTTGTGGGGGAAGTATTGGATGGAGTGGACCGATATTGCCCATTTTTGCACCTGACCTAGTACTGATGCAAATATTTTTGCAAAGTTGGAGCAAATTTGGATTATCCTTTCTCTTTCTGTGCAGTAAATTTTTTTCTTTGAAAATATTGACATTTTGTGTGGGAGGTACCAGAAGGAGTGGACCGCTATTGCCCATGTCCGAACTCGATCTATGTTTGACAATAAAAATACGATGTACCAAGTTTGAATCAAGAATTATCGATACTCCCCTCAAGAGTTATGCTAGGAACACAATTGGAGCGAACGACGAATTTTTTCGCGGCGTATGTTCGTCGTCAAAAATAAAACACATATGTGTATATGGAAGTGCACACAATCACGGCACCGGCGAAAATTTCGTCGGTCGCCGCGAACTCAATTAGCTTTATTTCTATTTCATACGCCGGCGACCGGCGAACAAAATAGTACAAGGTGGCCATACTTGTACGAATTTTATGTGTTTTAGTAAATAAAGTTACTTTTTACTTTAAAATTTGTTATGGTCACTCTACTATCTGTTACTCGTATAAAAAAAACATAATTAATTTGTTTATTTATTTGTGTACTTGCGCCTGAGTGAAGATGGATATCAGTGAATTTATAATAGAGAAGATGGACATAAGTGAAATTATAATAGAGAACGTAAAGAATTATGTGTTCTTGTATAATTCATTGTAGTCAACAAATGAGCAAAAAGTAAACAACTTCATCAGCTGTTTTATAATTTCGTCGGTATTGTGTTCCATACGACGAATTTTCGCGGCTCATTTTGTCGCTGCGTAGGGCGAAATTCGTCGTTCGCTCCAATTGTGTTCCTAGCATTATGCGCACCGACCAGACAGACTCTGAATGTCCTGAAACGAATTTGGTCCAAAAAGACCGTTATTTCGATGAGACACGTTTTGGACGTAAAATTTTTAATTTCAAAGAATTACAAACGAAATGGCGAGGCATAATCGCCACCAAGAATTCTATATTCTTAACTTTATAGAATTAAAGTTTTTTTTTCATTGAGATCGGCTGACTTGCTCACTATTTTTCGCCACCCCGTCACATGGCCCATTAGCTCAGTTGGTTAGAGCGTCGTGCTAATAACGCGAAGGTCGCGGGTTCGATCCCCTCATGGGCCAACTTGGTTTTTATGCATTTTATTCCAAAGTATTCAGAAAAAAAATATTTTAAAATAAAAACATTAAGGAATTATTGAATAATAATTATTGAAAATATATGTATTGAGAAATTACTAACATTTTGTATGTATTGAAAATTATATTTTCTTCTTATTAGACAGTTAGCTGCAAGCAGACATCGGCCCATTAGCTCAGTTGGTTAGAGCGTCGTGCTAATAACGCGAAGGTCGCGGGTTCGATCCCCCCATGGGCCACATGAAATACTTTTTAATTTTTTTTTAAAATAGTCATTAGATTGTCACTAGTTGTAGTTTCGATGCTTGCATTCTCGCAGATAATACCGCTCAATACAAAAAAAAAACACATGTATCGGCGTTTTGAAAGTTTTCATCGCAAATTGAGCTAAATAGAGAGGGCAAGTCCCCCACTTCCACACTTTTGGAAAGTTGGTATTAAAATTCATCGGCGTCCGTGCATTTTGGGTATATAGTGTCTTATTGCAGATGAAAATACAAGGAATATTTTGATCCTCAATATGAACCCTCAAGCTAGTAACAAAAGGGTTTTTTGGTTCTTTTTTGAAATAAGGTTAAAAACTCTCTTCAAACGGGATCGTCAAAATAGTCTATAAAATTATTAATTATACAATTCTACTATAAGTCTTAGAAGACGTTAACAATCGAAATCTTACCTAAACGTCAGGCGTTCATATATATTAAAACACATTTTAGGATTAAGTTAAGTAAGTTTATACAGATTTCAAAGGGAGTTTCCGATTTGATCCAAACTTGATACATCGTAATGTTATTGTCAAACTTAGATCGAATTCGGAGATGGACAATAGGTGCTCTCTGTTGTCTACATTTTCTAAGAAAATAATTTACTGCACAGAAAGAGAAAGGACATTCAGATTTTGCTCCAACATAACAAATCCCAATATTTGCATCAGTGCTAGGTCAGGTGCGAAAATGGACAGTATCGGTTCACTCCATCAAGTACCTCCCCCCACAAAGGTCAACATTTTGAATATTTTTAACTCTTATAAAATGTGAAGTAAGAGTCCGATTTTCTTCAAATAACAAACATCACAATATTTTTATTAACCCAAGAACTGGTGTGGAGATGGAATATATCGTTATATGGTACCTCCCCCACAGAGTCAAATCTTTGAATATTCATGAAGCTCAATAAAAACGAAATTCACATCCGATTCCATTCAGACTTGGCACATCTAAATATTTCCATCAACACAAGATCTGTTATAAAGATGGTAGAGATCCGACTATTCCTTCTGGTACCTCCCTCGCAAAGGGTCAACATTTTCAATGACTAAAACTATTATAAAATCCGAAATATACATCCGATTCTCTTTATATTTCACACATCACAATTTTTTTATTAACCAAACGTCTGGTGTGAAGATGGGATATATCGGTCCACTCCTTCTGGTACCTCCGCCACATAGGGTTGAAGATTTTGAAAAACAAAAGTCTAAAGCAAGCGAAATAATATTTCTCTCAACGAGAAACCTGAGATGAATATGGAATTTATGAATTCGCATAAAATTGGATATAAATGGGTCCTCTATATCTGTTACCTCTCCCATATTTCCGCATTTCCAAAAATTTTGCACATATTTTATATAAAGTATAGGAAGTAGTCGATATAGTCCAAATCTGGCACGTTAAAATATTTATATCAGTCTTAGGTCAGATACGAATTGGCCAATATTGGCCTACTGCTTCGGAACCACGCCAGATTCAACAGTTTGAATAATCAAAACTCAAGGCTGGGGGCAAAACCGACAGATACTATTTTACTTGTTTAAGTTTGATTTCACGCTCTCCAAGTTTATTAATTATTTTTTTATTTCAGCCTAAAAAAACTAAAAAAGATAAGCTTTTGTAAATTATCAAATAATTCCTTGTTTCACTTATTAAATTTGCCAATAATTTGTTTTCTATTTAAGAACTTTTGAAAGCTTTTATTACAAAAGCTTTATAGAAATTTTCTTTGTTACGAGTCACCCTGTCTCGCATTAGCGACAATACAAATACGATATAATGGAATCGGTTGATAAAAACAGTGTCTGAGAACACCGTGCAACATCGGCCCATTAGCTCAGTTGGTTAGAGCGTCGTGCTAATAACGCGAAGGTCGCGGGTTCGATCCCCCCATGGGCCACATGCAATATTTTGTTTTTTTCAACTTAATTATTATGTTAAATATTTAAAACAGCTCCAATAAATGTAATATTTAATTATCTCATTTCTTTTAATTTATTTTCAGATTTTCCAATTTCCGTTGCATTACTTACTTAGTACACCAACCCACAAACATGGCTGCTTCCGTTCTCTTTGCGTGTGGTCTAAACGAACAGAAATTACCATCGTTCATACACATCAGCGAAGAATCAAATGTCGATGGCAGTTTTTTGATTAGCTCAATATTGGGACAGCGTTTGCGTATCTCCAATGCCGGTACTCTGTTGGTGTGTCTGCAACACAACTATCAGCATTACTTTAATGCTGGCATGCGTTTGGGTTACAACTGTAACATTTTCCTGGGCAAAACACTGGGCATAATTGATCCCTCCAATGAGATGGCCAAGGATTTCCTTAGCTGCAAATGGTTGTCGCGGGAGCACAAGTTAAGTGATTTACTACTCGCCGATATAAGAGAACAACTGACAACGGGCTCAACCTTCACCGCTCGCATTCACAATACCGTCATAATTGATAATTTGTCGATACTCTATAATTTGGGCGCTTCCAAGGAAGACATACAACAATTGTGCCACGGCTTGGTTGCCTTGACTCGGGAGTTTTCCAATTTATCGATTATCACAAAAATGAGCAATTCCGATCTGTACTCATTGGATGATAACAATGTTTCCAAATTGGGTTCCGTACACATTCAGGTGATTAAGTTGAAGAGTGGCGTATTCCGTGAAGTCGATGGCAAGCTGTTGATCAAACGTTTCCAAGATGAGGAGGATAATTGTTACGAATCGAACTACACCACAAAGGAAATCCTTTACAAGGTCAACGATCGCAATGTGAAGATATTTAATCCCGGAGAGATTGGCTTGAAGGCCTAAATCTGTTGCGTTTTATATGAAAACATTTATTGACATTAAATGATAAATGAATATTTTTATTGTAAACTTTAATTGATTAGTAATAAAAATATATATATTTTCTTAAAAAATAATATTTTTCTTAAATTAAAAGAAATTGTAATAAAAAGGGTATTGTATTGTATTTTTTTCTAAAATTTTCAGAACATGTATTTGAAAAAGATTGTTATCCAATAGAGTTTTAAGTGACGAGTAAGAACTTGACACTCAATATTTCAGACAGGTTAGGTACAAATAGGTGAGAGAGATGGGGATATTTTATATTCTGGGGATATATTCGTCCGAAGGGAGTATCCAATTTGGTCCAAACTTAGTACATCGTAATATTATTGTCAAACTTAGATCGAGTTCGGATATGGGCAATATCGGTACACTTCTTCTGGTGGTACCTTCTCCACAAAAGATCAACATTTTCAAAAAAGTTAATTTACTGCGCAGAAGGAGAAACGAAAATCCGATGTTGCTCAAACTTTGCAAATCCTAATATTTGCATCACTGCTAGGTCAGGTGCGAAAATGGATAATATCGGCCCACTCCGTCAAGTACCTCCCCCATAAAGGGTCAAATTTTTGAATATCCATGAAGCTCATAAAACGCGAAATTAACATTCGATTCCATTCAGACGTGGCACATCTTAATATTTCTATAAACACAAGATCTGCTATAAAGATGGTAGAGATCGGGCCATTCGCCACAAATTTGATTTTGCAAAAATGGATTTAAATGTTCGATTTCCTTCAACTTTTGCACATACCAATAGTTTTATCTGCATCAGAGGACGAATGAAAATTTAATACTTCACATTTTCCAAAAAAGTGCACATTTAAAGTACAGGAAGTAGTCGAAATAGTCCAAATATGTCACGTTGTAGGTCGGAAACAAATTGGTTAGATCAGATACCAATATTGGCCAACTGCCTCGGAACCTCCCACCTAAAAAGTCAACAGTTTGAATAATTATTAATCAAGGCCGGGGGTATACATCTGTCGGCAAATCCGACTGATACTATTTTACTTTTTTTATACCCTCCACTATAGTATAGACCCTGCAAAGTTTATATATATTTGTGATCAGCATAAAATTCTATGTCGATTTAGTGATGTCCGTCCGTCTGTCAAAATCACTCTAACCTCCGAACGAAAATTTTAATCAAATGTTTGTTTAGTTTGCAGGACTTTTGGTATTGAAAATGGGCTATATAGGACCACGTTTAGGCATAGTCTCCATATAACTGTACCTCCCACATTCGGTATTTTGATGATTTTAGCGACATTAGTCACCGGAATTGTTTCAAATTTCATATTTGAAGTTTCTAATAGTTACTACAGCCTGAGACAGAAAATTGCCTATGCAGGTTCAGGTCTTCGTATAGCCCCCATATGACGGCAGTTCCCGATATTTATATTTCGATGATTTTCGCTACATTATTCACCGGAATTGTTTCAAATTTGATATTTGAAGTTCGTAATGTCTTCGTGTAGCCCCATATAACGGTACATCCCGGTATTCGGTATTTCGATGATTTTGGCTACATTATTCACCGGAATTGTTTCGAATTTAATATTTGAAGTTCGCAATGGATATTACAGCCTATGACAGAAAATTGTCTGTGCGGTTCCACGTCTTCGTATAGTCCTCATATAGCGGTACCTGCCGATATTCGGTATGTTGATAATTTTAGCGACATTATTCACCGCAATTGTTTGCAATTTGGTATTTGAAGTTCGTAACTGATACTACAGCCTATGACAGAACATTGTCTGTGAAGGTCCACGTCTTCGTATAGCCCCTATATAACGGTACATCCCGACATTCGGTATTTCGATGATTTTGGCTACATTATTCACCGCAATTGTTTCAAATTTCGTATTTGCACTGCGTAACGAGTACTACTGCCTGTGACGGAAAATAACTTATACAGGTCCAGGTCTTCGTATAGCCCCCATATACCGACATTATTCTCCGGAATTGTTTCAAATTTCGTATTTGAAGGTTGTAGTGGATACTACAGCCTATGACAGAAAATTGTCTTTGCAGGTCCACGTCTTCGTATAGCTCTCATATAACAGTACTTCCCGATATTAGGTATTTTGATGATTTTAGCTACATTATTCACCGACATTTTTTTCAAGTTTCGCATTTGAATATTGTAATGGCTTATGGCAAATGTTATCCAGATCCACGTAGTCGTATAGACCCTAATATAACGGCTACATTCGGTATTTTTAAGATTTTAACAGAATTTTTAACGGATTTTACTTTTTTTGAAAATTGCCAAATTTGTTCCAAATGGTGAAAGGTATTTTACTTGTTATATGCAATATTGACGAAGACAATATTTTCCTTAAATGAACGGATTCCGAGAAAGCTTACTCCGAGGGCGCAATTCGCCCCCTCTATTTTGGTTATTTTTGGATCTAAACTTTCAAAACGCCGATACACGTGTCTCCTTTTTTTAACTCTAATTTCATTATCTGCGCGATTTTTCCGTAATTAAAGAAACAGATTAAAATTTGTCGCACAGTGTTATCAATAAGATAACAACCATTGTTTAAGCAACGAAAATAAACCAAATTAAAATTATTTTATGTAGAAATGGTTCTAAACCTTTACATTCGAAGGGAGCAATGCCAAGTTTTAGACCTCTACTGAACATTTTCCGCAGCTCATTTAGTTGTGCTTAAGTATTTTACAAATCACCCTAGGCATAGAACAAGAATTCTTGAGGAGCTCTACGTAGAATAATAAAATTAGTTATTCTTTATGGGATCTCAAACAAAAATGCCTCTTCGGCAATCAATAGAGTTAAATGCTATCAAAATCATCGGGTCTCTTTGTACATTTTTCATTTTACGTTGTAAATTAAAACACATAATTAAATTTATACACACAATTGTAAATTTAAACATCTATTTGTTTTTTAATCTACATTTTACAGTAAATACCTACTGTAAGAAAAACACAACAAATGCGGAACAACAACAAAAATACAACCCATCGATCGACAACAAGCATATGCTTCTATTTCTAGATGTTTATTGTCTCGTTCGCAACAACAACGGCCACAGCACACACTGCTCACATTAGATATGTGTGAATGTGTGTTGTTGTTGTTGATCGTCACCACATCAGGCCAAACACACAAGGCGGCGATCACAACTGCTTATTTTAGTAGTATTTCACACTAGAAGATGTGTATTCGTTAACATTCGTACAAATCGTGTGATTCAGTTGCTTTCTTTTAATTCTCAATCAGTTCATTTTCAGCCCACCTAATAAAGTTGACTGTTGGCGTTGAGAAGTTAAGACTATACTTCACAGGATCATTTCTGTAGTCAGTCTTCAATTACTTTCATTGCAAAATGGAAAACCATCAACCTGCGATGAGGAGGTACATCGTTCTATCTGTAGCGTGAGGTTTTGAACTTTGCCATTCTTTTGGGGTCTCTTCGGAATTCCATTGGTGGCATTGTTTCTTCGATGATCGCTCGATTCAAACGGATAGAACGACTTCTGAGTGGTTGTTCTTTTTAATTTAATAAATTTGATGTTTCCCTTATACCCTACGTCCACGTAGTGGTAGGGGTGTTAAGTCTTTGTGCCTTTGTTTGTAACATGGAGAGGGAAGTGGGAGATAGAACGGACCCATGGTAAGAATATAGGTGGGCGCTTCGGCACACAGCTGTTGGGACAATGAACTGGCAAACCAATTTTGGAATTGAAAATGTTGAATGAAAAATTATTTAAATTTATAAAAATTGTTGAAAAACACGCATTATACTCCTCCGAATGACGTCGTATAAGAAAACAAATAAAAATCGACCTATATTTGAAAAGACATTTCAAAATTTTTGACATATCAATGTTCCCAAGCGTTGATGCATCTACCTGTATTTTTCTACCATGGATGGACCCATAGACAACGAAAAGTTAGTTTTATCTTTTTATCAAGGCGGCTCTCATCATAGTCAATTTTATGGTTTTTCAAGAATTTCACTGGATATTTCCATATTTTCGATGCCATCTCGTAGTTTTCACTTATGTTTTATTATGGAAAAAAATTTAAATTATAAATATCCTTATAGTTTATGATATATGAATTGTATGATTTCAATATTATCACTCAAACCCCTGAAACGTTATAAACGACATCTCTTGATCCGAATTTTTTCGGAGATGAACGGAGAGAGCATTTCGTTATCTATATTTTTATTTGTCTATGGTTAGACCCATGGTACAATAAGGAGGCAGAATAGCTTCGTAGACCTACAGAAATACAGCCCTAAGGCTATGCCCGCTTCCTTGTTAGACTCATTCAAAATTATATACAACAAGTTGTTTTAATTTTTTTTTCATATTTTTCCTCATTTTTAAAAAGATTTATATAACGGGAAAAATGAATGAATAACCTGGATTTTCTCTGAAAAATATGATCCAAACTATTCAATCCTTAAATTTCATGGGTAAACTTGTTAACAGCATTAATGCGCGCGCCGCAATGTACGGGTCTTCCAATCATTGGTTTTGAAAATAATAAATACGTTCACAAAATTGGCAGAAGTCGGGCACACTTAGAAAAAAATTGTAATCCGCTGAGTGCTCTACCTTACCTTTTTATTGTACCATGGTTAGACTCATAGTTACTTTTGAGGATCTTCATAGAATCACTTTCTGAGTCGATTTATGCAGGTCAGTCCGTCTATCCGTCTGTCCGTCTTTCCGATTAAGATGAAATTTTCCGAACAATTTTGTTTGGTCCAAGAACGAACCCTATTGAAATTGGCGATAATCGGATCAGTTTTTGATGATAGCTCCCATACATCTTCAAATGATTTCGATTTAAATGTGTGCTAAATGGCTAATATAAATCCAAATGACCAGTGTTTTGGTACATTCCAACGAATTCAGTCAAGAAGCAAGTAAATCAAATTTGGAGAAAATCGGTTCAGATATAGCTATAGCTCCAATATAAGTTTCATACGATTAGGTGTTTGAGTCCCTCACATTCGTAATATGCACTTTACGAGAATCATATTTGGTCCCAGATATCAGAAACAGTCCAGAAATACCTTTGCCAAATTGTATCAAAATCTGTTCAGATTTAAATATAGCCCCCATATATATATTCAACCGATTTCGGATGCACCAAATAGCCAATATC